GGTTATAGCACAAAGTTAGATGAAATAATACCCAGAAGGGTAGTCATAAGAAAAAAGTGGTTGGCACTTGAAGAATAGCAGCACTAACTATTTCAAAGGGAACTCTGGAGGCATAGTCTGAAGAAAGTTGAACTGCTAACCCAAAGATGGTGCTTTTCTTAATGAGAACTGCAAGAGAAAGATGAGCAAAGAGATCTGCAAGAGAAATATGGTCTCTTTCTGTGTGATTTACAGCCTCAGAAAACCCACTGGAGGGCCATCAATGAGGGTTGGGTTGGTTTTTTTTAATAACTTTAAAAAATTCAGTGTCACCTCACCAAAGATGACATTCAGATGGCCAGCAAACACATGAAGAAATATTCAAAATCCCTAGCTCTGAGAAAGATGCAAATCAAAACAACTATGAGATATCATCTCACTCCAGTAAGCACAGCAAAATTTAACAGAGCAGCAAACAACAAATGCTGGCAAGGTTGTGGAGAAACTGGAACCCTTATTCACTGTTGGTGGGAGTGTAAAATGGTGCAACCACTGTGGAAGGCGGTATGGCACTTTCTCAAAAAGTTGCAAATAGAAATACCATTTGATCCAGCAATTCCACTACTGAGAATATACCCTAAAGAAACCACAACTGCCACCCAAGCAGATATATGCTTACCCATATTTATTGCTGCTTTGTTCACAATAGCAAAAAGTTGGGAACAGCCTAAGTACTCACCAACAAATGAATGAATAGAGAAGTTGTAGTATAACCACACAAAGAAATATTATGCAGGACTGAAAAACAAAGAACTCATGAAGTATTATACAAAACGGGTGATCATGGACGACATGCTGAGTGAAATATCTGTCACAAAAAGACAAATACTGTATAATGCCACTGTTATAGAGATAAGAGGGGATAAATAATGTACACAGTGTTTAAACAGAAGAGGGAGAGAACTTTATAAAAGGAACATATGATTAGGTATTATTGACATGACAAGAGTCTAGAAAAAGAGCTGCATAGTAAAGTGGTCTGGGGAGAGGGGACACGATGACACATGCTGTGTAACAATGAAAGAACTTTTTTCCAAAGAAAAAAGTGAACTTGGGGAAAGGGAGGGACAGGGAGAAAAATGTGCAACAATGAATGAATGGAAATCCAAGTTCTTTATAAACTTTCATTAAAATATATAAACAAATTCAGTGTGTTGGGGCTACCTCTACAGTTTTTAGATGGCAGTGAAAGGCAACAGGAGGGTGGGTCTGTGACTGCACTGGACTCTAATGGTTGTTGTTATGTGCTGCTGAGTTGACTATAACTTACAGTGACCCTATGAATAATGACTATGAACCTTGCCCTGTCCTGAGCCAACCTCACCATCTCTGACACACCTGACCCACTGACAGTCACTGTTTCAATCCATCTCATCATGGTTCTTCCTCTTCTGCACTGACCCTTTATGCTTCCAAACATGATATCCTCTCAAAATCTTCTAATTATACTTGCTATACTTGGTGGTGGCTGTAGTTGAGTTGATTCACTTCTGGTGACTTCATGGACGCAGATGGTAACTGCTCCAGGGTTTTCAAGGCTGTCTCCAGGCCTGTCCTCCTCTGTGCCTCTGAGGTTTATATTGTCAACCTTGCTGCACTGCAATCCCAGAAGCGCATGGATCGAATCCACCAGATGCTCTGCTGGAGAAGGAAGGACAATCTTCTCCTGTACCAGTCAGATTTGATTTGACGATACACACATAATAATTATAATAATGGTGATGATGATAATAATAATAACAATAATATTTTAAAAGTTTATAAACTGTCAGCCTTCTAGCTACTAACTGTAAACTGCTACCCATGGATTCCTTGGTGAAGCTTCAGATGAAAATGGATGTAAATGGTATCTAACATCCAGTAAAGCATTTGAGAAACAATGTCCCTAATTAGGTCAGAAGAGCGTAGACCTCAGCTGTTACTCATAGAAGGGAATTCTGGGGGCCTAGTGATTATAGCTGCAGTGTTAAGCCATAGGTGGCACCTTTCTGGTGGTTTAAACCTATCGGCAGCAATGCAGGATAAAGATGGCCAACCTCCTCCCATATAACTTACTTTCTCTGAAAATTTACTGGAGTGTTAGTTTGACGGTAATGAGTTGAATTAGATTAGAAGAGTGTGGACTTCAACTGTTAAGTCAGGCGGTAACAGTAAGGTATCTGTTTGATGCTGAACTTATATGGAGTTGAATGTCACCCCACTGTTATTAGGTGTCGCTGAGCACAACTCATAACACACCTATGAAAAACACATCTGAACTCTGTTGTATCCTCAAAATCTGTGACATAATCGAACATATTACTGCAGTCATTGTGTCAATCCACCTGGTTAAGGGTCTTCCTCTTATGCTTACTCTCCACCTTTCTAAGAATGATGTTCTCCAATTAACACCTTCTCCTAGCAACATGCTCAAAGCATGTGAGGGGAAGTTTAATTATCTTTGCCTCCAAGGAGCACTCTGGCTGTATCTTCTCCAGGACATACCTGTCTGTTCTTTTGGCAGACCATGGGATATTCAGTATTCTTCTTCAACACAACAGCTCAAATGCATAATTAATTCTTCTTCTGTTATCCTTATTCACTGTCTAGCTCTTAGATGCATCACAAGTCGTTGAAAAGACCATGGCTTGACTCAGGTACCCCTTAATCCTCAAACTGACATCACTGCTCCTCAATAATTTTGAGAGGTCCCTTATTGCACACTTTCCCAGTACAATATGTCTCCGATCTCCTGAGTGCTGACACTAATGGTGTTGACTGTGAATCCAAGTAAGATGAATCTGTTAACACCTTCAGTCTTTTCTCTACCTATCATGATGTTGTCTATCAGAAAACCTGAAGAAGGGTCTGCTCTGAGTCAGTTCTGACTTGAAGGCAATGATTAAGAATATTGCATACAATATAAAAAAATAAAATAAAAAAGAATATTTCATACAATATAAAAAAACTTAGGCCCTACATATCCTCAAAAAGTTGAACACAGAAGCGCCAGTTATTCCACTACTAGGAATATACCCCCCAAAAATTAGAACTGAAACACAAACGGAGATCTGTACAAAGTTTAGACCCTAAAAATATGGGACTCAAAGCTGCTTATGAAACAGTCCAGGCTACACCTTTTTGTCCCATGATGCAGAGCTAACAGAATAAAAGCAGACACCATCTACAGAGACCTGAGCCTGGCAAAAGGTCTATGCCCGTTTTCCTCCTAGAGCAGAAATCAATGATCAGCTTTCTGAGACATCTGTCACTGGGAACAAATGCCTAGAAGAACTATTGCAAAGAACCTCATCACAACCGCAGGGATGGGTGGAGCAGCTTGATGCAAGCCCTTGCACAGCCTGAAAGCAGAAGAGTATATGACAAGGCCTTTGTGTTGCCCATCTACTTTTGGAAACTAGTGAACATGGTTATCAAAAAAGGCATAAATTAAACTCTTTGCAGTCACTTTCTGCCTAGGAATTTGGTTTCATAGGTGTATGAGCTGCTTAAGTTTATAGTTTATGTAAGTAAGTAAGTAAGTAAGTAAATAAGTAAATAAATAAATAAATAAAAGCATATGAGAGGGGGAAATGACCCAATTACACTCTTTTGCTTTAAAAACGGGAATGGTTTTCATAAATCCAAGTGTGAAATTTGTACACAATGAAAGGAAAGGTAAAACCTCTTCTAAGGCAATCAATTAAAAGTGGGAGAGGGATGGTGACAGTTCATGGAGGAGTCCAGTGGTTAAGCACTTGGCTGCTAACTGAAAGGCTGACATTCTAAAAATACCAGCTGCTACAAACTACATGGGAAAGAGATGTGGCATTCAGTTTCTGTAAAGATTATAGTCTTGGAAACCCCACAGGGCCATTCTACTGTCCTACCAAAGATGGCAGCAAAGGACAAAGTTTGGGAAACGTAAATGAATTCTTCTATTTAACTCTAAAACTTATTATCAGTTGCTAAATTCATTAATGGTCCATCTTTCAAAAAAAATGTTACATTTTATTAAATGACTAAGCAAGTTTGATATAAAAGTGTGATGAGCATAAATAGTTAAAGGAACATCCATGGTGATAAAATGTATGAAATTATTGCCAACTGATAACATTATATATGTGTATTTTTTCCAAAATAAAACAGCCTGAATTTATTAACACAAATGAGTTAAAATATTACTCCTTTAACTGATATAATGCTATACTTATCATTTAAAATAGAATTATCACAAAAGTTGTTGTTGTTATGTGCCATCAAGTTGCCTGTGACTCATAGTGATCCTATGTATAATAGCTCTGAATCTTGACTATCCTGAGGCTGTCTCACTGCCTCTCAAACACCTAATCCCATTGCCCCATGTCAACCTATCTCATCCGGGGTCTTCCTCATCTGCACTGTCCTTCCACCCTTTTGAGTAAGGTGTCCTATATGAGATGGAGCTTCAAAATCCTAGCCTCCAAGTGCACTATCATATTTTGTTGTATTCACAAATGTTAACAAAGCTAATTTAAAAAAAATCAATCCAACGAAAATTATATACAATTAAAATTTTCATTTTTAGTAAGTCAATGAAATTTGTAATTATGTAACTTTTTAATATTGTTCACTATTTCTCGTACCTAGATAATTCACGCTTATGAAGCTAAAATATATCTGTTTAAAGTCTTTGCCTGAATTTCTATTTCAAAAATCAAACATACAATAGAAACTCTTAAGGAAAAAGTTTAAACAGCTCGCACATTCATAATATTTGAAGTATAACAGCTAAAAGACTCTTAAGGTTAAACTGCTTCACAACTCTATTACCCCTAACCCTAGAAGTTTTTATTTTCATTAAAACTGTATTTTTTTTAAAAAAAATACAGGTTTTTTATTAAGTCTAAATCAACTGAAAGATCTGATATATTTAATTAAAATTTCTAAAGTAGGAGTTCAAAAGTCACTCAGCATTTTTAAATTATCATAATCCAACCAACCTTGTCTTTCCTCAGCACTTTTTTGCGGAATTTATTAGTGATAAATCCCCTTGGACCAACAAATCGTAAACGCTGATATTTAGTTTGAATGTGCAAGCTCTTCTGTACTAGGCCTGATTTATAATGGGGCTGGATTCTGGCATCTCTAAAGTCGGTCTGTAAAGGAAAAAATAATTACATGTTAAAACTACACTTTTGCCCTGCAATTCCAGAGGTGTGCAGTTCAAATCCACCAGATGCTCTGCCGGAGAAGGAAGGACAATCTCCTCCAGTACCAGTCAGATCCAATTTGATGGTTGTTATTGTTATGTCCCGTCAAGTCATTTGCGACTCATAGCGACCCTATGTACAACAGCCCTAAACTGTGCTCTATCCTATGCCAATCGCATTGCCTCTGACACACCCATCCCGATTACCCCAGTCACTGAATCAATCCACCTCATAGAGGGTC